GGTTTAATGGTTCTAGATCATATAAACATTTTTATAATCCCATGTTTGATAGAAATTTATTTCGGGATTCAAAATCAACAATTAATTTTAACCATATATTTCGTGAAGCTGTCCAACCAAATTAATTATTGACACATTATATCAATTTGGTGGGTTAGCGGTGAAGTTAATGAGGGTAAATTTAAGATAACATGTCAATTTAAAAATAATTAATTGAGTAGACAACAAATTGGATAATATAAATTAGACAGCATATCTTAACTCTTTCATGAGACTCACAACTTTTCAACCATATATTTCATTATTAACTTTTATCAAAATCTGCTAAAAATCTGATTTTAATCTTTATCAAACATGGGCTAAATTTATGAAGTTGGCGTGTTAAATTTGATGTCTATAGTGAAAACATGGGAAATTCGTTTGACACAATTAAATTTACTACATCTAACTATTGAGTGACCAACAAATTGATTACAACGTTAACGGTCATCTCAACAAGTTATGATACGTAGTTGCACAATTGGGGTGGTTTAATTGTTATTAAATTAAAGATAAGTGACTCAATTGCAGTTTAGTGACCTAATTGCAGTTAGGGTGATTGTACAATTAACCCTATTAAATTAACATTACATACTGCTTATCTACTTGTAGAGAAAATGTTGCGCACCTTGTTTACAGATGCAATGGTGACAGCAGATAATTGGCTGCAAAAACCTTTTTTTTTCTAGCATTTTATCAAAGTGTTTGTAAGTTTTTTTCTGTACGTATAGCAAGCTCGAACTCAAAATTCTTTACACGAAACATTTCACAAGACAAAAGCTTTTTGATAAGTCATATTTACTGCTTTATCAAACCATATTATATATTAGAGTTGTGCTTGGTGTACAATCATTAGATGATTGTAAATCTTACAACCTCTCACATTAGTGTGGGACCCACAAATTAATTAATTTGTGGGTCCCACACTAATGTGAGAGGTTGTAAGATTTACAATCATCTAATGATTGTACACCAAGCACAACTCTAATATATAATATGGTTTGATAAAGCAGTAAATATGACTTATCAAAAAGCTTTTGTCNGGGTTATGTGTAATTTTCCCTTTTTATAATCCCATGTTTGATATAAATTTATTTCGGGATTCAAAATCAACAATTAATTTTAACCATATATTTCGTGAAGCTGTCCAACCAAATTAATTACTGACACATTATATCAATTTGGTGGGTTAGCGGTGAAGTTAACGAGGGTAAATTTGAGATAACATGTTAATTTAAAAATAATGTGTCAATAATTAATTGGGTAGACAACAAATTGGATAACATAAATTAGACAGCGTGTCTTAACTCTTTCATGAGACTCACAACTTTTCAACCATATATTTCATTTTTAACTTTTATCAAAATCTGCTAAAAATCTAATTTTAATCTTTATCAAACATGGGCTAAATTTATGAAGTTGGCGTGTTAAATTTGACGTCTATAGTGAAAACATGGGAAATTCGTTAGTATTAAATTGACACAATTAAATTTACTACATCTGACTACGCTTGAGTGACCAACAAATTGATTACAACGTTAACGGTCATCTCAACAAGTTAAGATACGTAGTTGCACAATTGGGGTGGCTTAATTGTTATTAAATTAAAGATAAGTGACTCAATTGCAGTTCATTGAAGTTTAGTGACCTAATTGCAGTTAGGGTGATTGTACAATTAACCCTATTAAATTAACATTACATACTGTTTATCTACTTGTAGAGAAAATGTTGCGCACCTTGTTTACAGATGCAGTGGTGACAGCAGATAATTGGCTGCAAAAACCCCTTTTTTCACGCATTCTATCAAAGTGTTTGTAAGTTTTTTCTGTACGTATGGCAAGCTCGAACTCAAAATTCTTTACACAAAACATTTCACAAGAGAAGCTTTTTGATAAGTCATATTTACTGCTTTATCAAACCATATTATATATTATAGGGTCCGCAATTGAAAAGCCACGCTTCTAACTTAAGGCAACCAAAAAATAAAAAATAAAATAAAATAAATTGTAATCCATACACACATATATAGATAGTTCATTCTACTTCACATTTGATTAAGAATTAATCATGGAATTATTATGGCATCTTTCCTTTGTCCTATTTTGGACATTCATAGGTTAATAATCTCATTTATTCTTCATCCATGCTCAATCCAAGTCTTCTTGTTCATCTTATACTGATTAGCGTTGTACGTGGATCCGGGGACGGGCCAGCCTCTGCTACAGCCCGTCCCTCCAGCCCAGATTCTAAGT